ACTTCTTTCAATTGTTCACATTACCATTGGGTGCAAACTAAAAAGATAATAAATCTCAGAGTTGGTATTATGTATTCAAGGACCATTCACACTATAATTAGGCATCCTACCCCTTACACCCATTAGAAGATTCTTACTTTGCATGTGCAATTCCTGCAGTGATCATCTTCTACCCATGAGTCTTTGTCTCGATAGATCACTCCATTTACTTGACAAGTCTTCTCACAATGACAGTTTTCCAATTGACTAAGCCTCGTTTCTGCATAATTTAGCTGTAAGTGAAAGTTACTTGATGTAATTTCTGTAATTCATACACATGGTTTTAACAAAGCAAAGAAGCAAAGAACAAAAGAAGCAGCTTACTGACTTTTAGCTGAATCAAATTTTATTACACCAATTGAAAAACAAACTAAATAGAAGACACTGAGCCAGAACCAAAGCTGGTGTAAATCAACTTGTGTCCATTTACTTCAATGGAGATCAGCTAATGTACACCAGTTGATGATCTGTATGATTGGCTCTTCTAATCTAATGAACCCCAGCAAGATATTAAAAATGTACCTCTTGGGTACCTCAGATTATTAATGAATTGGGTACTTTCAGTTCAAACATCAAAAACTGAAATCTTTGTAATATTCTGAATTATTCATTTACCGGCATACACGTAATTTAAGAGCATGAATGCTGTCTGGCTCTGATTCCTTCTGTTCAACCTATCTCCACACTGTTTAACATTAACAGGTTGCAGAAAGACATTTACATTATATAAAGCTACTATGATTTACAGGGAAAAGACGACATTTAAATGTGTTGTATAACAGATTTTCCCAAACTATGGATCATGGACCACTGGTGGCCCACAGAGCACTTGCTGGTAGACAGCAGAGAGTGGGCTGGTCAGATGATACTGTCAGCATCTCCTCATTGCCAGCTGCTAAAATGAATTAACAGATGCTAAAAATATTCTTTTCCTAGTAGTATTTTTCCAGGCAAGCAATTGCCATATTTGCCTGAAGAATTCTATGTAATAGTGAATGGGAGGAGAGACTGTGCATGTAACAACAAACAGGAGGCAGGGGGTTCATGTGCTGGCAAAGACAAGGGAAGGTGATCGCTCCAAGTTGTTGTCCATACTATGAGTAATTTATAATTTTCTTCTGCGCACGTGCTCCTTCCCATCCTCCCCAACACACCCACACAGATTATTAAAAACAACAAGGAGTCCTTGTGGCAACTTAGAGACTAACAAATATATTTGGGCATAAGCTTTCGTGGGGTAGAACCCACTTCATCAGATGTATGGAGTGGAAAATACAATAGCAGGTATATATACATAGTACACCTCTACCTCGATATAATGCTGCCCTCGGGAGCCAAAAAATCTTATCGCGTTATAGGTGAAACCTCGTTATATCGAACTTGCTTTGATCCGCCGGAGTGCGCAGCCCCGCCCCCCTGCCCCCAGAGCACTGCTTTACCGCGGTATATCTGAATTCGTGTCATATTGGGTCGCGTTATATCGGGGTAGAGGTGTACATGAAAAGATGGGAGTTGCCTTACTAAGTGCGGGGGTCAGTCTAACGAGACAATTCAATTAACAGTAGAATACCAAGGGAGGAAAAATCACTTTTGTAGTGGTAATAAGGGTGGCCCATTTCAAACAGTTGACAAGAAGGTGTGAGTAACTGTAGGGGAAATTAGTATGGGAAATTAGTATGGGAAAATTAGGTTTTGTAATGACCCATCCACTCCCAGTCTTTATGACACAGATTATTGTCACCATGTTTACATAGGTCATCCCAGGCTTTCCCCAAACAAAGAATACTCCATGCAAATGAAGATTCCCGAGTGATCTGTAATATGGTGGCCGATCGCCCCCGCCTCCGTTTTCCCTCTCTCCACTGTGCACCAAAGATCCTCCTCAATCTTGTATCAAAGTGCCCACATTCTCTATCATATGTGTTGGAGCAGGGCTTCTCCCCATCTTAACAAATACTTGCTGTCATGCCCAGTCTCCTTTAAATAAGTTTATTTGTCCACATAAAAGATTAAAATAAACAGTTCCTCAGCCTACCCTTTGTCCTGGGGTTTCACAACCTCCCTTCCCAGGGGTCTCTTGCAGCTTCCCAGTACCAGCCAGCTCCTTTCTTGCAGCCAGTTCTCATTCAGCCAGCTCTGTTTCTCTTCTGGAACACCAAACCCAGGACCACCTCCCTGAGCCCTTTGTTCCAGGGATCCACCAGAGGAATTGGCTGCACTCTTCTGTGGTTCCTCTCCCAAGGCAGAGCCTGCCCCAATCACTCCTCTTCTTGCCCTCTGACAGACCCTTGTAGTTAGTTCCTCATGTAGCCCTGACTTCTTTAACTGGCTCAGTTAGGCACACCTGCTCTGACACAGGGCCACTGGGCCTGGTCTACTCACAGGGACCAGCTACCCTGTGATGGGGTCCAACACAGAGAATAATATCCACATACAAGATCCTCTTCTATGTATAATAAGAACCAAATTACTCAGTCCCATTTACTAACTCGTCAAACTTTCTGGCAGGACTAAACTTCCACGTCCTTCAAACCCCAAAATAGCCATCTCTCCCAGAAATCCACAAATCCCAGAGCAAGTGGGAACTTCTCAAAGGGCCAAATTCTGCTGCTTTTACTCACATTAAGCACCACATTACTGCATGAGTAGTCCCATAGTAGCCAATGTGTCAAAATCTGGTCCAAACTGAGATGAATCCTAGCCCTGATCACTCTTATAAATGGCATACTACAGTATATTACAGGATGGTTCAAAATACTACAGCTTACAATAGCATTTTTGCACTGCTTAGAGAGATCACTGTACAAATACTGTACTATTTTTATATTGGTATCTACTGCATTTTATACATTTGCAAAAAGGCTCTCAAGACTTCCACCATTATCCATTTTAATGGGAATATTCCAACCTGCCCATCAATGCTCATACTTCCTGTCAGGTAAATCTCAAACATCAGCAGAAGATACTAGGGAAACTTCCTCATTTTCTGTTCTTCAATTCTCCAGAGTAAAGGGCCTCGAGTAAAAGCTTTTGATTTTCCTTAAGTCGGGATTCTGGGATATTACTGGAATTGACACTCAGCCCTCCCAAAGCCAGCATGATCTTGTGACTTCAAAAATGTTTTTCACACTTTAAAGGCAAAAATCATCCTCTCTCACTGAACTGCTAATCCTGCCAGTTTTCAGCAGTGACCTGAAAAGGGTTTCTATATTTATAATGTATAAAATAGAATATATTTCGCTGCATTAAAATTGTGTTTAATCTATATGTTTTGCTGCAGTTTATTTAACCTGTACCTTTTCTTTAGTCTTTTTTTTAAAAAAATAAACACAAAAAGGTAACATTCATCATTTTTATTTCTTATAATGATTGTGTATAAACTGCACACAAAAAGAGAAAGGATGTTATACAAAAGCCAGGTTTGAAAAAGGCATTTAATGCTTTATTTGTGTGGGTGTTGATTCCTGTAACAGCAATAAAGAAGAGAAGCAAATGCTAATACTAATCAACTAAAAGTTGCATATTCTGTGACTTTCACTGTCGCACTGAATGTATATAAATTCACTGATAAAACACACCATCTACCACTTACTCTGAAGAATGACTCTGGATGTAAAATGAATCTATTAGTAAATCAGAGATGTGTATGATCACTATTACCTTTGGCATGCATTTATCTTTGCAACTACACAGAAAATGTCAGTGTTATCTTTATAGATATGAAGACATGCAACAGTGAACTTTCTGATAGTAATAGGTCAATGGATGTATCTCAACACACACAGGTTTATCTTTTCTGAAATACTATTTAGTTGGCATTTGCTATATGGAATCAAATCAAAATGTTCCATTTGTATTTAAACTGCCAAACATAATTGAAAAATCACCATTAAGCTCAACAAAACAATGATATCCTCAAAATTAAATGTATTACAAACTGAAATGCCATTCCAAATGCTGCCAATTTTGCATAAAAAGATTTGTCAAAGATTTGAAACATCAATGGAAAGTCTCAGGCTCTCAAGTCTTGGATGGATTAGGAGTAGGAATGAACCAATGGGGGTGTGGTTAACTATTTCTGCCATCATTTTTTCATTTTTCCAAACCAGAAGATGAAGAAAAAGACTATTCTTGTGATATATTACTTGTGGGCCATCCGGATGCAGGAAGTACCAGAAATCTTACAAAGAAAACTCCGTTCTCATGAGAGCTCCAGAGAACTTTGAGTCAAAATGTTCATGTGTTTCAGATAAATGTTTGTGACCAAATAAATCTATGGTGTAACCAAGCCACTAGGGTTATGTCAACAGTAAATTCTGCCCTTAAACATTTAGGTATTTATGCCAACCAAACCAAGCACTGAACCTTTTGATTGTTACCCTGTTAAGATTTGGCAAGAAATAAAGTTAATTAGAAGTTTGGGGCTGGAAATCTCCAGTAACTATCTCCAGCCACTAAAAGAAACACATCTGATTACAAGGAAAAAGACACTTCCTAGTGTGACCTGCTAGTTTATTAAAAAGGAACTGCACTCCATTTTCAAAGACCCTTGATTCAGTAGAGCTATACTGATTTACACTAGCTGAGGATCCAACCCATTTAGGGTCAACACCACCTAACATTCCATACCCAGCATAGTAATTGGGCATGGTGAAAATTAACCTGTCCATCTTGTCCCAAGGTAATTTATATTTTAATTAAGTTTTTAACAATTTGATCTATTACCTTTTTCTATTTAAGGTGGCAAAATTAAAGAGATGAAACAGCGGCGTGTAGGCAGTAATGCAAAAAGTTCAGACGCCTTCCCCACCATGAAAAGAAATACCTCAGACTCAGAAAAGCTACACTTTTATGCATTTTTAAAAGCAACACACTGACTACTTCAAATTGACCTCAAATCTTTGAAGAGTGTGGGGGAAAGAGTGTAATGATACTTAACTTACTATATGCCTTACTTGTCATTTGTAATTTTCTTGGTGACATACTAACATTGCAAACACCATTCACTGGGATTTTTTGAGTCTGTAATTAAATTGTAACCAAATGTAAATCTACAGACAAATTCAAGCTTCTGGTATACCACAGCCACACATGGAAACATGGGACACAATTTTTGCATGCTGCCAAGTTCATATTCTGCAACTCCCAGAATGGGGGAGAGAATTAGGGGTCATTGTTATGTATTTCATAATACATACTCCTTGCTCTGGCAAAAGTAATCTCCATGGGCAGCTGTGCACTGGTTCCAAGCCTACTTCTAGCCCAGACATATCTTAACACGACATTAGTGTATACCTAAAACTGCAGAAATATCACTTAGGGCCTGAATTTGCTCCCTAGGACTGTGGTGTGAAAATCCACCATTAAAATGTCTGTTTTTAAATTCCACCATCTTTCATTTGCATTTGTCTCACAATTAAAACTTCTTGCACGGCTGTGTGTGCTCTTTCCGGACAACAGTAATACAACAAAACACTTAATTAATGCGTTACTAAGGAGAGCAAAGCAACCTTATCGGGGGAAAGGAACAAGCAAAAAAAAGATCATCCCAGCACTGCTGTATGGGGACAAGTAATCTTCGGAGTATCAACAGCATGTTATTTGGCCCAAAAAATGTATTAGCAAGCAAAAATATAATTACAGCAGAGAGAGCAAGTCACTCAATACAGTACATAATTGGGACCTGCTCATACCACCAGCAGGGCTTAAAATAAATTACCTCTATTTCACATTTCCAGCAGTAAAGTGAACTAAAAGGTTAATGTTTCTTATTCTCTGAGAGAGCCTGTCCAAAATACACTGGCTGGGTGAACAGAGTGTCAGTGTAATACAAACGTGTTTAAAATTAAAACCTTTCTTTTTAGGAAGGAAAGAGTCCTAAGGGCAGCTGAGGAGGTACGATTCACAAGGAAAAAAATATTACGAGTTTACCATCTTTATATACACAGGGTTACCATGTAGATTATTCTTTTGGAAAATCATGTTCAGTAACTATGCTAGTAATTAAATGCACCTACAGGTGATTCTGTGGTTACACATTGATCAAAAAGTAATTAGCATATAAGCAGCATGCCAGGTGAGATAACTAATTCTTGTTTAGATGATAGAATTAATCATAGGCCAGATGGTTTTGCTAATGTTAACCACATGGAATATTCCCAAAGGAACAGTACACACCAATTTACTAGATGCAAATCAGGATTGCCACTGTGCTTAACTCACTGCATTTAGGGCTTGTCTACACTACCGCTTAAGTTGATGTAAAAAGCCACGTAAAACTCGGTGTGAAAAAGCCAACCCCTGAGCGACGCAAGTTACATCGACCTAAACGCTGTCCACACTAGTCCACTATGTCGGAGGGAGACACTCTTCCACTGACACAGCTTCCGCTTCTCGCTGAGGTGGAGTAATTATGCTGACGGGAAAACGCTCTCCCGTCAGGATAGCGTGTCTTCATCAGTGCAGCTTCACCAATGTAGCGCGGTAGTGTAGACTAGCCCTTAGATATATTTACAGTGAAAACAAGAATAAGTTTATTGTCAAATAACAGAGATTCAAATGAAAGTAAGAGAGAATACTGGAAACAAATGATTACATATAAAACAAAATCATAACATGCTTTCTAGAGCCTAAACTTAACTCACAAGACATTCCCATTTCCTAAAGGATAGCTTACCCCAAGTCCTTTTCCCAGCATTTTCAACCAGGATGGCTGAGAACCTCCTTTCATAAGATCAAGCCTGCTGCCAGCTTGTCTTCCAAGACTGAAGGATGCCCGGTGTATCACCGTACTCCGTTATACCCCTAAAAGTATAACCCTGGCTGTTTTTGTTTTTCCCTGCAGCAGTCACTATCTGTTCATCAGCATTTGACTCAATATGCAAATAGACTTCCATTGTAAGAAACAATGCACAACAGTCAACCAGGGAGATAAAAGTGTCTCCCACTTCCTATCTGGAAAAGTCTGTCTCAATGCATGCTACCTTTGAGCGACATGCCTTTAACTACAAGGCCTTAAAAAGATAACATACATAACTTACACATTATCTGCTCATCCATTTCACAATGATTGTGATGACATTCTTTCAATAGAGGCCTTACATGACACCTTTTCATGATCCTTGTAATCTGTGTCCTCTGCCACTGGGCATCAAGGGTCCTTAGGTCCACACCCCTTAAAATAGATCACCCCATTCCTTTCCTAGCCCCCAGACTCTACAAGCACCCTCAGTTGGAGGTCCTATGGCTAAAATGAGAGCTGGTTGTGGGCTGTAGCAGAGCTAAGGGAGAAGCACATCTTCCCATTCACCCTCACCACCACCACAAGGAAGAAGAGAATTAGTGTAGCCTGGAAATGTGTTAATTCTTCTGTTAATATCTTCATACTGTAGACATCTCCCTTAAAAGAGAGTGTTGAAGAGAGCAAATGCAGTGGCTCCAATGGAATTGCCTGGATTTGGGTGATCCACTGGGGTCTCCAGAACTGGCAAGGAGAGACAAAGCCTCTGTATGAAGACCCCTCCTAGCCTCTGAAGATTTCAAAGAGCCCTCACGTTTTGTGGGTAGTGCCACTGCCTGTTCCACTTGGGGCAAATGCGCACATATTGACAGTTTGGGGAAACCTCAGCAGTAAGATCATTGGGGAGTTTACCCTTTTTCTGTACCTGCACTTATCTGTTGGCACGTAAAGGGACACATGCTATGGTTTCTTTAAAAATCAGACCCTTTAGTAGTAAGCATGTTCGTTATTCCACATTCTTTTAATTAATAGGCATTTGTAAATGTCCTCTAAAATACTATAGAAGTTGAACAGGAGTACTTGTGGCACCTTAGAGACTAACAAATTTATTAGAGCATAACCTTTCGTGGGCTACAGCCCACTTCTTCGGATTCTGTAGCCCACGAAAGCTTATGCAGATTAACACAGCTGCTACTCTGAAACCTATAGAAGTTGAATGAGGCTTTATTGGCATTACGGAAAATCCACTACAGGTAGCTCTACTGGAAGTCCGAATAAAACTCTACCAGGATAGTGTAATGCAGATGCAAAGGTGTAAATGCTTTTATAGTGCTCTCAACTTGAGGGAAATGAGGGACAGGATGAGGAACTGATAATGGAGTTCAGGTACTTACTTTTGCAGTCATTTTTGCCAGGAGCTCTTGTAAATCCATGATTCCTTGCACCAGACTTAAGAAATCACTGCAGGTTGGGCATGCTCAATAAAAGAAGTGGGGAAAAGAACCATAAATCAATGAAGACTGATCTACTGTTAAAACATCTTTAATTCATGTGTGATGGGGCGTGCGTGCCCTGCACTGGGACTGTGGGGGTTAACCCCTCACTGTGCATGCTCAAAGTGCAACACCAGTATAAGAGGGAGCAGCCTGGCTCAGTCTGGGCTGACCGCCGTAGGGGAAGGAGGTGTGCCACAGGCTCCTGCTGAAGGGCCGAGGGCACTTCATGATGTGGAGGCCAGCCAGCTGACAGCAACCCTCAACCCCCAGGCTATGGACGCTACTGAGGGAGAAGGAACCGGGGGAACTAGGAAGCCACAAGATGTGGAGAAGTGGGTAGGAAGTAACCCAAGGAGTCTTTGCTAACCCGAGGAGTTGATTGGACAACTGGAGGCTAATCCAGCGTGTTTCGGCCGGATCCCCGCCAAGCTGGTGGCAGGCAACCCCGCCACCGACAGGGCCCTAGGTTGGGACCTGGTGGAGAGGGAGGGCCCGGGTCCCTCTATCCTGGCTGCCAATCCTGGGGTTGTGGCCCAACCTGACAGAAACTGACTCAGGCTACTAGGCCGCACAGCCCCGAGCCAGGGGGCAGTTAGTGACTCTGACCACTAGACCACACAGCCCCAGCTGGATGTGCGCAGGCACAACTGTGGGCCTATCAAGACTCGTGCCCCGCCCCGGGAGGAGATGGGGCATGCCTGACCCCCAACAGCATAACTTATCTTAACATAAATGCAATTTCTTAAATAGAGTTTCTACTTCCCTGAACTGACCATATTGAAAGTGTACAAAGATGATACAGGACAAAGCTAAGCATCATCATCTTTAAAAATATTGAAATAATATTTAAATCTACAACTGTCAAAGTAAATAAATTGCTACTTACTGCGATTCAGATTAGGACACTGTGTTATATATCCATTGGGCATAAAGATGACTTTCACATCTTGAATGATACCCTTTGTAAAAGAAAAGATTGCTGGTAAATATAGATTGTAGTCACACAGTTAAAACTTCCAAGATTATTCTCAAGTTTTCTGCCAAGAGGCCATGAATAACGGATCAGCTTATTATTTTTGTTTGTTTGTTTTTTGTTTTGTTTTTGGTTTTTTTTAAAAAGAGCACCACCCTAACTGAACAATTCAGGTAAAGCTGAACAAGATATGAATCATTACAAAAGCTTTCCTTTCTCCAAGAAAAAAGTTTATGGCATTGGATTTGATAAAACATATGCAAAAATCGCACACCATCTAGAAATGTTCTTATTGATTCATTTAGCCAAATTAGCCTAGGAGATCAAACCATATTTAAAGGACATTTCATAATGAATTCTCTCTGCTGCTCAGTTAGGAGTCAATCTTGTTCCTAACATAAAGGTAAGGAAGGCCCCCTGTGCATACGGGATGGAGAGGGGGCAGGATTTAGGGGTCATATATAATTCAGCCCTGTAGGAAGTCCCTTCACAACAACAGCACACATGGGGTTTTGGAAGCTGGGCAGTGGCAGGCTGGGGAAGTGAAAGGGTTGAATGATCCACCACTGTTGAATCCTATGTCATTTCTCCATATGCATGGAACATTCTAAGCTTAAGCACCTTCCACACAATGCAGCCTGTTGTCATTTCCCATCTTTGTAGAGAGAAATCTTAGCCCCTTTCCTGTGTATCTCCCCAGAACCCAGACAAAACACACACAGTGAGTGCTGGGGATTGGGGTTTGCTCCTTAGAGCCAAATCCTGAAGCTCTTTCTCAGGGCCTGACTCTACAAGCATGTCCCACAATATCCACTAGCTTTAATGGGAGTTGAGGGCATTCAGCATCTTAGATGATCTCTTTTCCCTTAATGAACTTTAAAAGAACTGGGAATTTTCCTGGAGAAGTCCAAGTATCTCGCTGTAAATCAAAGAGAGTTATGGCTCTGCCTCCTATCTGATCTGGAAGAACCTCTCTAATTTAAGAAGAAATTTTTCGTCAGGTTTGCTGTCTTAGAATGAAAATATTGATTTGGGTGTATTCTGGTTTTATTTTCAGTTAAATTGTGATAGAATGGATTCTGAAAAGCAGACAGAAGACATAGTGGCTTGCTCAGAATACTGAGGTTAATCTATAAATAAAATATAGGCCTCAGATAGTACTTGAAGCCTTGCAAATGCAGTAACATTTAACATTTATGTGTTCATTTTCTGAAACAGCAGAAAGTAATCAGCAAGCACTACTTTCTGCTTGTTATTTCAAGATCAAATAATAATTGGAAATATTAATAGAAATAACCAGATCATACCACCTCTGTAGCAGAAGAATATATATTTATTAACCTTTTCATCTGTGAGAATAATGAAGCCCCCACAATAATGAGAAGTGATACTGTCACTGGTTGGGAAGTCGCCTATAAAACAATGCTGAATGTTACTTACTTTACTTCTTTCCAGTGACCACTGGTGAACAATTAATAGCTGCAGCACATAAATGTATTTTTAAGGCTCAGTTCTCTCCAATGAAATGATTAAAGAAGCATAACTCAGATTATAGACTTCCACTACACTATATCACCATAGTGACAGGAGCCCATCCAGGAAAGCACAATGGCCCTGTCTCAGGAAAGAATCCCTGTTCAAGAATAGTGTGTGCTTAAAGTTAAGTACATGTTTAAGTGCATTACTGCAATTTGGATAGGTTTATATTTAAATATAAAAATACATATTCATTTTATTTATTTACTTCAATGTAAATGATAATTTAAAAGATGCCTATCAAAGGCAATAGGTGCTCTAACAAAGCATGAAAAATACAGTCTGGAAGGGAAATTATATTTTTAATATATATAATCATATACATTACAGCTACAGATGAGCTGGTGTGCTCAGGCACAGATGGGAACTTTCCCATTAGCTTCAATAGGAGCAGTATTTGTCCAATGTCATTTTTGTTAGAGAAAAACTTCATTATAGATGGAAGTTCAGCATAATCAGAATTGTTGCAATGCATTTAAACAAACTTGAACTTCCATCCTACTTCTCTATAAATGAAGTTTCACTAGATCAGAGTTTTCTATATGGGGTATTGAGTGTACAAAAACTCCCATGAGGGCCAATCCTAAGGTCCTTTGGCATCAGTGGGACTTCTACCCAAATAAGGACTGAGTAAAAGCTAAGAAAGGACCTGTGGTTTTAGCCTGTGATGTGAGCTGTGGTTGTTCTGCACCTATCAGGATTTTCCTTTTCAGAAGTGGGTATCACTATATGTGGCTTTCATATGAAATATTTACCTAATCACACCCGAAGGCAGACTCCTTCAGCTGCATGAAGTCCCAATGAAGTCAGCAGAGTTCCACGCTAGTGGAGACAATGCGGGAGCAGAGCTTTAAATATCAACCTCATTTGATATGAATTTGACAGAAAAGCATTGGCATGTTTATAGCGCCTTTCATTGCTCTATATAATGAACTACTCCATTAATGCTATATGAAAGGGTTGATACATTCAGGGTGCACTAACACTCTCACCTTCTGCATTTTAATTCACTTGATTTCATACTGCTATTCTCACTCTTTAAAACCCACTTCTTTCACAAAGCCTTCCTATGGTAACACACATCATTTTCCTGTTGCCCGAACTGTTGCCCTCTGTATCATATTTATTTGATTTAGATTATATAGTCTTTGGAGCGGGAACCTTGGCTTTTTATATGTAAAGCATCTTGTGCATGTGTGCTGCCACATAAGTACATTCTATTCGTTTATTAATCAATATATATTTCCAAAGCTCCTATTCAACATTGTATCTGGGCACTGCATGAGGGTTATATAAATTATTGAAGAGGTGAGGTTTTCAGCGTGGTCTGAAGTTAGCAAGGGTAAAATTCTACCTGGTCTCCTCTGGGGAGGGTGTTTGAAAGTTTTGGGCCTGCTACTGAAAAGATTCTTCCTCGGGTTCCCTTCAGTTTTGTTTCTTAACCTGACTCCAGTATCATCCCTAGCACACAGAGATGATCTTGCTACTGGGGTACACTGAAGAAACCTGAATGGTCAACAAATGCTATCCTTGTTTTTCAGAAGGAATAATTCATGCACTTTCTCTTGTAGAGGAAACAAAAACAACATCTTGTCTCTGTTATTAGCTTGCTCCACTGTCTACCTCAGGCCAATATCCTGGAAGGGGCAGGGCACTTCCTGTGAGATGGTGAGCACCCTTAAATTCCACTGACCTGAATGAGAGCTGAAGTCATTCAGCACTTTGCAGAACTGGGGCATTGGAAGGGCAGAGCTCTGAGGTATTTGTACAGGGTAAGTTACATATTGTTAGATGTTTATATAAAGGGCCAAATTCTGATCCCGTCTTATGCTGAGCAGGCCTTCACTCTACCAATAGTCCCACAAACTCAAATGGGACTACTTGTGGAGTAAGAAGTCACTCAGTGTAAATAAAAGGGTCAGAATCTGGCCCATTGTGACTTAGATCCTTACATGACACTTCCATAAAGGTGCATGAGGAACAACAGGAGAATCCTCACCTAAAACAGATATTAATGATATTCATTTAAGAAAGCTTCTAATTTCTTTAAAAGGGGCAGAAGAAGGAGGAGCAAAATGAATAGTACATTACACCATTAAAATTCTAATATTTTTGGAATAACTATGATTAGGCTAAAGCTCAGAACAATACCCAATTCTTTCACATACAAATACTAGCACAGCTCCACCACACATACAAAAAATGCTAATTCTTTTTTACCACTCTTATTTCCCTGAAGATCTCTGTTTACAATGAGGAAAATAGTTATATATTTTATGCGTTAAAACACTGAAACAAATTGCTTTGAAAAGGGAAGGGAGATCCTACTGAGCATGAAAATATATGGATGGAGATACGTACTGTTCATAAACTGGCAAAATTCCAAGCTTTTGCAATGGGTAACCAAAACAAACAAACAAAAAAACCTTAAGACTCCTGAAACTCACAAGCAGGATTAAAAAAATTCAACCAATTATGCATTTCTGCCCTGCAGACAGTTAGTAAAATATTCAAGCAAACATAAAAGCAAAGAAAGGCACTTGTCGACTTTCATTATGATCAATAAAAACTGGCAGCTCATTAGCATATCATTAGCTACCCTGCTGTTTCCAAAGTGTTAATGCGTAGAAATATTAATTTACAAACGTATAGTATCCCAGAGTTCCTAGAATCTGGCTGTCTGCATAAAATAAGAATTAAAGATGGGTGAATCCAATATAATTTACTTTTTTCTATGCAGCTCTAAACATATGTTTACCATCTGTGGAATTATGGGAAGCAGCTGAGGTAAAAAACAACAGCTGTAGAATAAAATCATGCCGTTAATTTCACTCCACAGTGACAGTTCAGCTGTTACAACAAGAAATGAAGTCCACGTAAATGCAATTCTTGGACCTTAACTTAAATATAAAAGCAAAACAGTGATGAAGGTAGTGCATGCATACACATATGCATACACACACACACACACACACACGTAAAACAGTTAGAGTTGCCACACCAATTACACTATTTAAGCAATACTGCATTTGATATTTCGTTTGGCTCGCTGAAAAAAATCTACAAAGTTGAGAGAGGGGATGTTCTTCAAAAACTAGTAACTGCAACATCAATTTAAATAATGAATCCTTCAAAAGGAAACTGAACTGGTGGTCAACCATCCTAATAATGGAAAGCCATGCGAGTCTCAAGAGGATGTAAATAAGCACACCACTATCCTATGGACTATTTTATCAAATGGATGCTGTTTTGATTTGAATGAATCCTTAGACTGTGTTCTGTTATCCAAGATACAAGGTACTTATTATCAGGAGTTTAGCTGTATATCACCCACCGACTAAACTCCATGCTCTTTAATCAGCAACAGATCCATTGCAATACCTGGGGATCCACTGGACACAAAATTAGATATGACAGTTGGTCAGCTTTAGCTATAACTTTGCCTACGACGCAGAGTATTAATTTTTAAGTTTTACAACAACTCAGCCTGGACCATAATGCCAGCAAGGCTTGCCAGGGGATAAAGGGAACAGAAGCGAGAAACAAAAGGGAAATAGGGTTCCCAGGTCTTAGGGCATTTGCCTCCAAGACAACATTAATTGTGCCTTCCCTATGCATTTTTTGGTCTCCATCCCTACATTGGTCTAGTCCATGCGGATGGCGTGGGGTGTCTCACAACCAGAAATGGGCAAGCCGATCAGAGCAACCAGCAGGCATGCGCTCTGTCAGCTATGGCAGTGAGGATGACCCATAGGGCACACACTTATTGTTGGTTACCAAAGGAAAATTTTGAAGGGGGAGTTTTGATATCTTCACTCTCCTACACAAGGAGCATCTCCAACATCCATTTCCAGACCCACTTGTGCATCCCAAAAGCCTGACCTAAGCGCCCTGAACCATTTTCAACTGGTTGTCAGCTTTCCAGGACCTGTGTGTTCATTATATGTAAATGGCAGTCAGAGCAGTGTCTGTCACTATTCAAATATGAGAACATAGTATGCAATGTGCATGGACCTACAGGGGGGAAGATAGTACAGTATGGCTCCCTACTACCAGGATTCATGCTCTGTGCCACTGTGATCCTCAAAGCCATGAAGCACAAACTATAGCTCATGGATCAAATCCACTGCCTAGAAAATCAGAACTAGTTGATCACTGGTAAGGGATACAGCTCCCTCTGACATGTGGAAAAGAGGTCAAAATGAGGGGAAGTTCGCTAAGGAAAGAAGTTAACTCTCCTGGGCCTTTCAGCAGGGGACATGCACTGTGCACAATTGGAATAGTGTCAGGCCCACAGAGGACTTTTACCTAATGGAAGTCAAATGGGACCTAAACTGTGAAGGATGGAAACTATGGAGTCCATCAATAACAGTGAGAGGCTAATCTAGATGCAATAGAGAAGAAGTCCAGCTCCCACTGGTCTATGAATATTAGGAGATGCATCGCTTGGTCACCCAGACCATTGTAAAAATTATTCTGAAGGTTTTTAAGATAGTGACTCTTGGTTGGGTTCCTAAAACTATGTTCCACAATCTCATTCCGGTCACAAGTGATCCAGGACAATACACTGCAGGAGGACAAGGAATACCTCCTCAGGCACAGTGGAATCAATTTTAGTTGAGAGCACAGTCCACACCTTGCAGAATCAGGCCCTTTTGTGACAAGTTGGACCCATACCTGTGTTCCTCAGATACCTACAATCCCTACTGAAATTCCTATGAAGGGGATGTGCAAGGTAATGAAGGTGAGGTCAGTGCCCTACATTTGCTACTGTGTATCTGCTTACCTTAAAAAAACCATGTTTCCTGTTCCGCTGTCCCAGCCATAAACTGCTTCCTGGCGTTAGATTCATTTCTGGAGGATCTATGACACGTTCATAAATCCTGTGGAGGGAAATGTCATTAGTTGGAACAAGTCTTTCTTTTCTTCTGAAAAGTCTAATAAAAAAATCTATGAAAAAAGAAATGATATAAAGTTTGGCTTAAAGAAGTCTCTATGATTAAACACCCATATATAGTACCAATTAATTTTTTTTTTTGCTAAAGTGTAATGAATAATATTAATAATAATCCTTGACAGTTTATATAACACCTTTTATTCAGGCTCTCAAAACACTTTAAAATAGTGAGTAAAATATTATCACCATTTTACAATATGGAAAACTCAAGCATGGAGAGGTTAAGTGCCAGCAGCAGAGCCAGGAATTCAACAGAAGACTCTGGACTCCCCTTCCCTTTGCTTTGACCGCTAGCTATAGTACCACTCTTATACAGCCAGGAGGCACAGACCCTCTGCCTTATATCAGAACAAGTGTGGTACTATAGGGAGGCTAAGGAAGATGATGAAATATATTTCCATTACTCTCTAACTCATATTGTTCCATAATCATACCAACAAGCCAGTCAATTGAATAGGCTCTGAACATGTCAAGTTCCTTGACTTGTAATGTATCTGTATGTTTAATAGGAAATGGATGAAAGGGTTTTTTTTCTTCCTCTCTCCCACATTAGCATTATAGCTGTAGCTTTAAAATGAATGTGAGCGGTTTCCAATATAAAATACAAGTCCATCAACAACTCACTACACAGTTATCCTTCAATTTACACTTTCACTAATTTTCCAGTCTGTTCAAGCTCAGGCTCAACTAATGTCATCATTGATTTTTATTTTCCTGAGCTCCAAAATGATCTGAATTTTGAAGAACTTTAGCAAAAGCATTGCTAAATTTAAACATCAACATGAATGCAGTCAAAAATAAAGACACATACTCCTTGCACATTTGTTTATCCTGAGGAGGAGGAGGAAACAGCTTGCCGGAATAATGGGAGAATAATCTGTCTAAAAAGCCACAGAAAGGAAAAAAACTTTGTATTTTTCAGAAATAAGAAAATAGTTACATTGAAACTCGACAACTTAAGAACATGAGCAGAGAGTTCAAAAGAGTTCTTCAAATAATTCCGTGAGTTAATCGCTTAAGTTTATGGTAATTACAATCAACCCTAATTCATCACATTTCTTAACATGCTGCAGTACAAAAAAGGCATTCAAAGTTAGATTCAGAGCTCTGGGATATTTTTGTTTTAGCTAGGTAATTACCTATCCTATCTGTAAAATTCTCATGCTGAGCTATTTTACTTGTTTGGACAGCAAAACTAGGCGGTATTCTTCCAAACCATGTTTTGGGAATTATGGGAATTTTGCACGTATTATCTCTATCAATATTTTAAAATGTAAGCATCTCCTTTCTGCTATAAACACATGCAAAATTAAACATCTACTCAAATGCAAAACTGCTTTAAAAGGCTGAACAAGGCACAGAGTAATTGACATGCTCCTTGAGAAAGCGAGTCACTGAATTACACAATTACATTAGGAATTTCTCTTTAGATATATAGCACATCTTTATTCATGACTTGGGTTAATAACATCCTCTCTGGAAAGTGTCTAGTCTTTGTAAAATACTAGTCAATATTCCATGAAGAACTCCATTTTCTGTTAACAGACAAAGCCCCAATGTTTTAAACAAAGCAATACGGTGGCTTCTACAACACTACTTATGAGAGAATATTGGATTTTTATTTACCGGGCTTGGTAACATGCTCTAAAGGGACTCCATGAAATCTGTCTTCAATTATATAAGAAGAATGAATTTTTCAATGTAAAGCATACAAATCGACATGCATTATACTGTAGGTCAATAACAGAATATAAGGAAGACAAATGAGATACAGGCCAAAGTGGTTTATCTTTGGCTTTCCTGAGGAGATAACAAAGGTTTTTGTCCTTTGTGGGGGAAAGCTATAATGACCTATCTTCCAGTGTCCTTTCAGAAGTTCCCATTCATATGGTATATGCTCTGTGGTAATAGACTTCATTTTTCTCTGTGCATTGTTCCATTCTAATTGCATTTCTCGAGCATCTAGCTTCTCCCTCAGGCGACCACTCAGATTAAAAATAAAGGGCTTTGTGCCTTCTTCCATGTAGCTTTTGATGTCTAGGAAGATCTTCGTGTGTGTAGGCTCCATGGCAGATATGAAATATATTTTTTCTAGATCTGACCATTAAATCTATTTATAATTAATGTGCAGGTGTCAACTGTAGAAATTGATCCATGTGGGCTTAATTTTTACAAAAAGGGTGTTTGGATGATATCTTATTCACTGATTATGTGAACAAACCTTATTACCACATATTGCTTAAGTCAGCAAAACATGAAAAGGCCACTGCAAAACTGCACAGCCTATCACTGCAACAAAACATAGGCTACATTCTTGGCAAATTAAAAGGTTAAAACTCATATCTGTATTCCTAAAGAAAGAAACAGACTATAGCAGACCATGAGGAATATCATACTGCATACAGTACACTTTCAACATGTAAGAACTAAATCCAAGACTAAAACAGCACACAGCCAACAAAATAATAATAATAATGCAAAGCTCAACAGGTAGACAAACTAGATGCCTTTGATAACAGGATAAGTATCCACATGAACAAAAACTAAAACCAGTATCAAAAAGAAGCTTTTGTGTCAATGAATAAGAAGGAATTGATTGTTCATAATAATACAGTGAAGGATTAATAATAAACCTTTAATGAAGGTTAAATCAAAGGACTTTACAAATATTAATGAATGAAGCCTCACAACCCTGTAGATCCCCAGGGAACAGCAGCACAGTAAGGCTAACTGACTTGCCCCCTACATCAAATCTTCGGCCTTCCAGTTTCATGCCTTAATCATGAGAGCACTACCAGAGTTCTGTAGCACTACCAGAAAAGGAAGACTTCATTGAGACTAAAGCCTGCCCCCTGCAGCCCCTTAAGAAAGTTATGAATGGCATTTGCTAATGGGGGAAGCCCTGGAGGAGGACTTGGGGGCAAGGGGCTCTCAAGCCAGTGCAAAGACATAGGGCTATGTGCTGATGATCCCATGTCTCATGCAAATCCATTGAGATCTGTGCAGCTCTAAAATGACCTTCCGAGCTTTTCGTTATTGAGGGGGGGGGCTAAGTACCCTACTT